TTTTTTTTTTTTTTTTTTTACTCTTTTTGAAAGAAGTCTCTTATGCTCACCAAGGCTGCATTTATTTGATCAGATAGTTAGTAAAAATCGTATTACCTCAAACTTTTGAAAGGTAGTGTATGGCAATTATTTTAAATCAGTACAACCATAACCAGTATCGCCAAACCCTATTAAATGAAAGATTTTTATGTATTTTAAAGAAAAAAGGGGTACATTTTAACATTAAACACTAAGCTGCAAATTATCAGAGTCTCACCAGCCTAAATATCTAAGAGTGTTATGACCAATATGGACAGCCAGGGCCAGAAAGGAACATTCTCACACCTTGCAGACGGTTGTTTGGGTTCATGGTTTTCTAAATGCCAGGCAGCAATTGTCTCAGTCTGATAAAGAACCATCACTGTTGTGTTTGACACTATGGAGCTGTAATGCTACAGTAATGTGTGTTTTCTCAGCTTACTGTTGGTGGGTGACTTAGGACGACAGCTGCAAATAAAAAGCTTATGGAGGCATGAACATTTTGGAGACTGTTTCAAAGTTTACATCACTATTTACAGCTTAAAGGGATAGTTCTCACAACAAATTAATGTTCTGCCATTATTTACACACTCTCACGTCATTCCAAACCTGTATGACTTTCTTTATTCTGTGAGACAAAGGAGTTATTCATAGCTGAATGACTAAGAAATGAATTTCCCATACAATGAATGGCAATCTTAGCTATCAAGCTAAATTCTCAAGGCAAGATTTTTTGTGAATAACAATGTAAATTTTATTTTTTTGGGATTGACTCCTTTTGTCCCCATCCACTTTTTTAGTATGAATGAGAGCAGCTTCAACATTCTACTAAACGTTTCCTTGCATGAAAGAGTTGCATGAAAGAAAGAGTACTGGTTCAGAAAGACATTAAGGTAAGTAAATGATGACAGAATTTAATTTTTCTCCGGATAAGAAATGGTATAATTTATTCAATTGCATGATTATTCAAATAATTTTCATCTTGATCATTTGCCAACTACTTACCAATGTTAATCTCATCATCTGTCTCTGCATCTCCGATGCATTCAAACTGGAAATCCTGTAGGGACTGGGAAAATTTCTGCACAGCTGCAGATAGATCTGTCAGAGAGACAACAAACAGTTATGTGATGGAGCTTCCTAATAATTTGAGCATATTCACTGAGTTTTCAGTTATTAATATAATATTATATAAGCTGTGATTTGTTCAGACTAAAAGGAAGGAGATAACATCACAAATACTTCAATAGTCAATTAAAGCAGTAGTGATGTAGGTCTTATCTGGAAGACATTCACTGATTTTGTTTAGTACAAAAGCCCAAATGAGCCTTCTACCAGACTGCATTGTGGCTGAGAATAAAGGAGAAAGTTGTGAAAGAGAATAATGATGAAAATAACAAGAAATAGTCAAAGCTGATTGGACCTAAATGTTCAAAGGCTAAGACTAGTGCAAAGCAAATATATCTAGAGGAAGGCAGGAGGAGCCATGCTGGTGAAGTGGCTGATAACAGCATATCTAGCAGAGATTTGTCTCCTTTCTGATATCACATCAGATACCAGCTGAATAAACAAGCATTATATGATGGCGTGCACCAACCCTAGTGTACATGTTCAGTTCCTCAACCTGTTTGATATTAGAGTGGTTAAATATGTTTGTAATGATTTGCTTTTTGAGATTAAATTGTTAATAAGACTCTGAAGACCCTTTACATGAGGAGCTGTAGTTTTAAGTAGTTAAATGAAATGTCTTTAAAAGGGTAAAAGGTCAGCTACCAGTTTATCATAGGTCCTTTCTTAATAGGTCCTTTCTTAATTATTAATATAATAAAAAATATTTAAATAGCACAACAAATCTGTGCTTTCTCGCTTATAAACCTCCATAAATCACAGATTATCTTACGTTTAAAAAGACACACGACCTGTAACTTACTTTTCAGCGCACTAATAAGCATATTTCCATCTTTGATTAGTTCCTTGATGAATTTATTAGTACGATCCAGCTCAATTTCGTGGCATTTGAGTCGCTCTCTGAAGTCAGGACTGTCCAGAAAAGAATCACTGAATTCCAGCGCCGGGAGCCCCATTGTAAAAGTGCAAATGAATGAAACAGTGAAACAAAACCTAAAGAACAGCTTTAATCCTCGGGAAAAGTAGATTTCTTAATAGAGTAAACTTTCCACGCTTACGAGTCCCGAAACCCCACTTCCGGCATGTTGTGTCCCTGCTCAATCACAGAGGCTCAGCAGAGCGAGAGAGCGAGCGTAGCGGTGACTCCTACTGGTCTGATCCCGCTCACCTACAGTAAAACATCAGGACGTGATTAGCGGCTGTGCTGTGCTGTGCTGTGCTTGGTATGCACGCCATATACTACACCCTCCTGAGGTGACTCTAGAAGTCGTCTCTGTGTACAAATATGAAAAATTTTCAGGACTAAAAAATGTAACATGCTGGGTTTTATTTGGATGGATATTAAGTGATCTGAATCAGAATACTTTCTTGTTTAATTTGAATAAAACATTTAAGTGTTTGATCTACATGTTAGAAAACTAGAAATTTCATGACCAGAAAGGACCCATAAAGATATAACAAAAATACAGGCCACAGTTGACAGAACTGCTTATGTAATACATTTGATTACCACAATTAATATAGGGCCTACACAGATTTTAAGTTTTACATTTTAACATTCATGTTTACAGTGGAACTATATAGTATACCATAGCTACTACACTGTACTATGTACTAACTACACTACATAGGCTTCCTATAACCCCTCTTTCAAAAATGTACCATGGTAATTATAGTTCCAACAAATAATACTACATTTAGTCCTAAATACTACAGTTAAACTGGTACTGGCATTTGTTACTTGGTTTCCACCAGTGAAATAAACAAAAATACAACTATTTTAAAAGTTACTCTTTTTAATTGAATATATCATATTAATTTCTAATAACATTTATCATGTCATGATAATTTGTCAGAAAATGTGGTTAGCCTACTATAGTGCATTTTATATATACTGTGGTATAGTATGCTATACTATATAGCATTCAATTGCATTCCACACCAAACTACACATAATTTTTTTTTCTGTTGAATTTCATGATGGTAAAAAGTTATATTAGTTAACGGCATCAATTAATTTTTTTTTTATTTTACTTGTTTCTGAGCCAGCCCTGCTATGGCCAGATATGCCGAGATAGGCTCTAGCATCCCTGCAACTCTACAGAGGACAAGCAGTTTGGAAAAAGGATGGATGTTCCCGAGCCTTCTGATAAAAAGGCAACTACATTAGGGACATCACATTACAAAAACTTATTAATAAAAATATGGAAAGGGTAAGGATGGAGAAGAACCCAAAATGTGTTTGTGTTGAGATACCAAAAGGGTTTCTTGAATAATACGCTGTGTGCTTCCTTAAACCAAACGGAAAGACTGCCATCTGGTGACCCACTGATGAAACCATAAAAAACAAACAGGTTTAAACT